TTTTTGTTGCAAAATGTTTGTATCTTACTTACCCACGTAGTATGCACTTTGTGCTTTAATTGTTTATTCAAGAGTTATAAAATGTTGCCTATTCACAAGCATTAACACTAAAGAATCTCATCCAAAATTTATTCATTATATTGAAGCTAACAAGTTACGAGAGTGGACATTATTTGGATTGGTTATGATTGTAAATACGCAAAATCATAGTTGAAGTTAAGACTTGAGAGATGTTGGTTAAAATTGGAGGACTGTCAATTCACTCAGTTTCTTGGGAACATACAACCACTATTTCTTATTCTGGTAGAGATTTTCTTGCTATGTTCTTCACTTTAACAGAGACCCAGCACTGGTTCAAATCCTAGACAAAATGATTTATTCGTTTACTAAAAAAACATAAAATATTAGTGCAAACCGATTGTTTAATTACAAGCTTTTATATAGAGTAAATTAGATTCATTAGATGATTAAGAGTACCAAAATGGTATTGATAATAAGGGTGTTAAAATTAAAAAGATGTGAGTTATTCCCAAAAAAGAAAAAATGATAAAAATGTAAATAAACAAATAACTAAAAGGGAAAAGAGAGGAATTACTTGTGGTTTGAAGTAAACAGTGTTGGAGTTGATATTTCAAAGAACTTAATCATTATCAGAAAGACTAAACAACTATTGGTTCTCTGTTCTTCTGAAAGAGGACATCCATCTATTTCTTTCTTCAAGTTGTCATCTGATAGGGTGTTAGTAGAAACTTCAATTTGGCGAATCAATTTTCAACGTCTGAAGAGATGGCATGATTTAATATCTTCTCTCCTCTCTTTGTACTCTCATAATTCCACTCTTCCCATTCTTCCATCCACCACAAAGAGGTATTTCAATTTGGGAAACGCAATAATTGATTTAGATGATGACATGCATCATTCTCTATTCCCAAAAACTCATTAGCCACTCTTTTCACTCTATTCATACGCCATATATCAAGAATTTCAAGAGATGATAACTTACCTAAGGGAGGCAAATGCTCACAGTTTATACCGTCACAAAGCATTAACTTTCTCAAATTGGTTAATGACATCATCCAATAGGGAAAATAGTGTTGCCTCTGTAATTTCGTAGCCATAATATCTCTAAATTTAGATGTGGTTGTAACTCCTCAAGAAGTCTTGATTTTGCTCCATATTCATACTCCCCTTAAAGTCTACATCCAAAACACGCAAGTTTTTCTTATTGTTTAATTCCATTCCTCTAACTTCACCCACCTCTCAAATTTCCCAACCCTCTTATTCCAATTTCTCGGAGGTGTTTGAAGTTTTTTAAACATTCAACAGAACATGCTCACTACCATACTATCCTCACTTATACACATATTGTAATGTTCGCAGACTCGTTAATCTCTCCAACTTTTGGCATGTAACTTATACTATATGTAGTCCCCTCATTTAACAAATGTCTCAAGTTAGTAGTTCCCCTCCTTTTGGTAGTTTCTTGATTTCAAAACAATATCTTATGTCTAAGGTTTGTAGATTATACAATTCACAAAATGTCTCAGGCAATTCTTTTATGTTTCTATTCTTAGACAAATCAAGGTACCCAAGATATTAACTGTTTTATTTCTTAGGAATTTCTTTAATTGAGCGTATTTCAAAGATAATGATCTAGACATGTAAATTGATCAACTAATTTGGACAAAACTATCTTAGGGTTAGTACCGTAATTACAATCCACTACAAGGCTACGTAGAAAAGTATTTCTAGTATAATGAGCTAGGAAGTGAGTGCCCCTTCTTGAATCTTTATCATTAAATATCTAACTTTATCATAAGAAGATTCTAATTCAATTTCTCCTGTACCATCAACCTTATAACATTCATTTTGAGAAGAAATTGAGCAAATCGGCACTATTCATGCATCTTGCAAGAATTTCTATCAATATCGTGTTCATTTTGTTCAAAATCTTGAAGAAAGAACCATTGCCAAAGTTCGAAACTCTTCACCAACTAACTCCATATCTTTATTTGGTTTTGACTTTAAATAACCTTGTGCCATCCACAACCTAATCAACCCTCTCTCTTTATCTATAATCCTTTGGAAAAACAGCACAATATGAGAAACAAATTTTCAAAGTAGGGGGTAAATCATAATAACTTACTAGTAAGGTCGAAAAACCTCTTCTCTACCTCTTCTAATTCCCAAATTTCACCCTAAGATATTTCTCCACTGACAAATTTTCTTTGGAACGCAAAAGACTTGCAAAGTCTTTATTGCAAGTGGCAAACCCTTACACTTTTGAACATTTCCCTACCAATTTCTACCAATTCATTAGATTCTTCATTGCTTTTTCCTGAAAATGCACTTTACTAAACAAAGACCAACATTTTTCTTCACATAATTCCCCAAGGGGATTATTTTGGTGGTTCCTATGACATTTGCAACGTTCTCCTTCCTTGTGGTCACCAAATCTACTTCTGGAGAACCAAACTTAAGAGACACACTCATTTGATCCCATTTTTTGGGATTTTCAGTCCATATGTCTCTAGGACAAGAAGAACTTCCTTCCATTTATTGTTTTTATGTTTTGCACCACGGTTTCTAGCTCATTTAAGTTTGGGCAGTATTTGTAGAGATTCAAGGATTGCTTTGACAATCCTAAGCTCATCAAAAGGCTCGGAAACACAAACCCATATTTTTTTTCAAAATGGTGTTGACCTGATCATCATTAAAAACTGATTGAGCAAGAGTAGTCTTACCAATTCCTCCCTCCCTACTATAGAGATGATGCGAAGGTCTTGTGCACAACTACTCTGACAAAGCAAAAAATCTATAACCGTTTCTTTTTTCGGCATCTCTTCCATAAACCCCTCTTAAATCAACAATCGAGGTTGTCATTGGTCGTTCTATTTCTTTTTACTCTCCGTGATTGATCTAATTAACCTCTCTTTTTCGATAGCAATAATATCTAGTTTTCTATCGAGATCTTTTATCTTGACGCTAATGTTGTAACGCAAACCAATGGCCTACACCGAGATAGTGAAGAATGAAGGAACACCTTTTTCAGAGGATTAAATGCATCTTCAAATTTCTTAATCTTCAATTTCTCAAGCTTTGTGATCCACTCATCCACACATCATCAATGTCATAAGACACGTCTTTGCTTGGCTAACCAAACCTCACAGCGTTCTCCTTCCACCTGTCGATTCTCAACATCATAGTACAGCTTGAATGGACAGGAAGTTGCTTTGAAGCTTCTCAACTTCTTGCTCAACACCTGCAATCAAAGTTATCCCTTCTTCTGTTTGTTGACGAATGATTGAAACAAATTGTTCCAACACTATCTCCACAAGCGCTTCACCATATTCAAAGGCTGTAATTGCTCAAACAGAGATTGAGATTGAAATGGTTGGTATGTTTATTTAGTGGTATTTGATCAATTTTTTTAGTCAGAGAAAGACAAAAGAAATCTTATACAATTTAGGACTAATCGACAAATGGAGAGCTAATGGACCCTCCACTTCAGAAAATTTAATCCTAATATAATATAATATTTATTTTTTTTGGGATATTACTAAGAACCGAGCAAATCCCATTAAAAAAGGTAATTATCCGTTCATATTTTTTAATTAAATAAAAACCTAATTAATTAGGTGAAACATAATCTCAAAATTGAGATCACAAGATGAAATGGAGGATGCGTATACGGAAAAATCACTCTAATAAAAAACTAGTAAATATCATGACTCAGCTTCACGTGGAAACATTACACCTAATCAAAAACTAGTAAAATAAAAACCAAATTAAGTAGTTACCAACTAACCTTTGACTTTCTTTTCTTGCTTGTGTGAGAGGGGAGATTTTTGTTAGTTTATTGTAAATTATAACTGACACATCGATCGGTTAAGTGACAGATAATAATAATATTAATGAAAATATTTGCCCTTTGGTTCCCTGGTCCTACTGTCGGCCACCTTTAAAGAAATTTAAAAAGCAAAAGACTTTTTCTTACTCCATAATAGTTTAATTATCTTTTTTATTCATAATTTTTAAAATATTATTTTATTACTTAAATTTATATTATATTTTTTATTTCACACATCTTGTGACCCTACACTATTATCATTCTCTTCTTGATTATTGCTCACCAAAACCCCTTAAACCCTACTACTCAGTCCTGTCAATCACCATAGTCAAGCGATTAAGGTTTGTACAACCACTCCTCTGAAGTCAAATTCAATCAATCCCACCACCAACCTCCTCTCTTTAAACCTCCAACATGTTAGACTGAGTAAAAGTTAAAAAAAATCTTTGGAAAGTCCATGTTTTTCCTTTGTAATGAGACTTGGAAAAGAGTAGGCTCCGTGGATTATTATATGACTTAGTTCTAACTTAAACCAATTAAGAATTGTTTCATAAATTGGTAAAAATATAATTCTTCTTCGAATTAATTTAGTGTTTATGGTCATTAACCTACTCTTAAACAGGTCCGATATTGCTGAATGTTTGGCTTTTCAATAGTCTTGGGATAACACATATCCGTTTTCAAAGGGAGCGTTTGGTTCGGGGTGATATAAGATTAATCATGTAATCTTTGTTTATTTTTCAAGATTTCCTCATTGGTGGTTAATTAATAAAAGATTACGTAATCTTTTATTGCAAATAGTGTTTGCTGTTGGTTATATTGGGGTGATCAGATTACCTTCCCAAAGGTGTTTATATAAGATTCCCGAGGTAATCTTAATTTGACCCTATTTTGCCATTAATATTCTATCATTTGGACACATTTGCCCTCTAGTCTACCAATAAGATTTACCCAGACCCCCTACATTGAGAATTTAGCTAAACACCCCCACCACAAAAAGTTTAAAATGTAACAAAATACCCCAACCACCCAAGACCACCGCCAGCGACTAGCCGCTAGCCACCGCCACTGGCTGCCAGCGAAAATCGTCTATAGCACAAACCGGTAGGATCTTGCCGGTTGTGTGTCGATAGACTTTGGCACCATAAATTATTCAATTGTTAACTAAAATGCCAAATAATATAACCACCCAATTTTTTGCACTTGTTTGGTATAGACTGAATGTTGACCAGAGGAGTAGTAGCTCAAATGAAAGGACAAGTCCTGTACAAGGCATTCTTTCTTCAAATAATGCTATGCTTATAACTAAGACATACAATTAAACAAAAATTTTATAAAATTCTGTTGAAAATAAGATGTAAGACCGGATTATGAAGTTAAAAATTCCGTAGTAAGTGCAGAGGAAGTTAAAACTGAATTATGAGTAACAATTTGACTTTTTGTTGCAAAATATTTGTATCTTAATTACCCACGTAGTAATGTACTGGGTGCTTTAATTATTTATTCAATGTTTATTCATCATAAAAATGAAGCTAACCGGTAAGGAGATAAGAAATTACCTGTGGATTGATCACAGTTGTAAATAGGCAAAATCAAAGTTGAAGTTACGACTTGAGAGACGTTGGTCAAAACGGAGGAGATGATGATGAGCTATCAATTCACTAAGTTCTTTCAGGAACATAACAACCACTAGCATACGTTCTTGCCAGCTAGCATAGGTTTCATAAAGTTGAATAACTGGTTATCACACTTTGCTATTCCCTCCTTGTATGACACAGAACACCAAATGTGCTGAGAAATCCAAATTTAAGTTTCAAAATACTATTACAGAGATATAAGACTAATATTTTCTAATGCAGAATTACATCAAATGATCAGTTAGTATGGATTATGGAGCGAAGAAGTCATTCCTCACCATATAAATGTAATTCTCTTAATGTTTGTTTGTATTTGCCCAACTTCTTAATAATCATGTTACACTGCCCAGCAGTCATTGGTTGGTCATACATACCGAAAACAGCACTTGAGCTGCTTTATTCATAGTGATACCACCAGGTCCCTGCAGAATGAAGGATGGAAGATTAATGAGAATTGCTTAGACAAATTGCTGACTTTGTTTCCGAGCTAATATAGGGACAAGTACCAGAAGTTGGAAGAAAGCTGCTCAACTGTGAGATTCGGTGAAAACCAGAAAAGGATGCTGACATAGAGAACACTCAATACTGTTTCAACTTATACATAAGTTTAGCCACTCGAGATTCCTGGAATGTTCTTTCAAAGGCAGCCAGTTGTTTGAAGAGAGAAAGTTGGATGAGCTTGAAATTGAAAAAGATAGTTGTCAGTTTCACATCACATAGATTCAAAAACATGAACTTTGGTTCTTTACTAATAATATTATGTTTTGAAACTTCAAACCTTGGAAGGACTGAAGTTATTGAAACAGAGCAGTTCCTTCTTGCCAATGAGCAGCTAGCATGCAATCAAGCTAGCGTTACATCCCAGAGATTTCTGCAACTTTCTTCCAATAACCAAAGAGCATTGTTTTACTGGTATTGAGAAGAAAATGCTATTAGCTAATGTATAAAAACTTAAGTTGTTTTAAAATAATTATATGTTATGAAACATCGAACCTGAGAAAGATTGATTGAAACAGAGCAGTTTTTTCATGCCTAGAGATATCTTCTTCTTGTGACCAAAAGGCATATTTTACTGGTTAAAGCACACAATTATTGAAAAATTTAATCATGTGGCCTTAAACTGCAATACATCATTATTTCTGTGGATAAGAGATATAAACTATATATGCTTTATTTAATCAAAGTTGGAAGTTAAAGTAGGCAGACCTTGGTCAAAACAGGTGGAGAAGATGTTGAGCTATCAGTTGGCTGAAGTCCTTTAGGGAACAGAACAACAACCAATTTCTGATTCTCATAGAGATGTTCTTTACTCTAATAGAAAGCCTGCAATGTTTCCAAATCACATTACAGAAATACCTCTAATGATGGTAAAACAATGAAAGATGGAGATGCAGAACAAAATTACCTATGGCCTGCAATGTTGCAGCTTGAAAAGAAAAGAAATAAAAGCTTTTGTTACAAAATTATAGATACAAGAATATATAAGATTCCACCTATGGCCAGATTACCTAGTCCAATTATCATCCAACAACATAACATGGCAAGCCGATGGAACCTTATCAGTTTTAAAATTGAAGAGGTGCCTGATATTGAAAATTTCTTTCACAGGATGTCTCCAGTGCAGGATTTCCTGGCTGCTGCAGCTTGAAAAGAAAACAAAACAAAACTTTAGCATGAGATAGCTTTAAGAGAACGAGACAAAGTCAGATTGTCGAAAACGAAGTAATAATGATCAAAACTCAAAAGTCTCTTACAAATAGGATGTAAGACCAGGTTATGAAGTTATAAATTCCATATTAAGTGCAGAGAATGTTAAAACTGATTTTTGAGTAATATTTGTATCGTACTCGCCTAATAAGATTAGATAAGATTCCCTGTGGCCACATTAGGTAGTCTATTTCTCATTCAACAGCATTAGACAAGATTGCAAGGAAAAAACCATGGCCAGTTGATGGAGCCTTCAGTTTTCAAATGCACTGGTGTTTGATATCCAACATTTTTATCAGATCAAGACGTCTTTGGTACATGATCTTTTGGTTGCTGCAGCTTGAAAAGAAAAGAAAACTAAACTTTAGCATGAGATAACTTATAATGAACAACACGAAGTCACATTAGCAAAAATGAAATAAAAAGAACAAAATTCTGTTGAAAATAAGATGTAAGACCAGATTATGAAGTTAAAAATTCCATAGTAAGTGCAGAGGAAGTTAAAACTGAATTCTGAGTAACAATTTGACTTTTTGTTGCAAAATATTTGTATCTTAATTACCCACGTAGTAATGTACTCAGTGCTTTAATTATTTATTCAATAAGTTTAAATGTTGCCGATTCACAACCATTAACACTAAAGAACCTCATCCAATGTTTATTCATCATAAAAGTTGAAGTTACGACTTGAGAGACGCTGGTCAAAACGGAGGAAATGGTGATGAGCTATCAATTCACTAAGTTCTTTCGGGAACATAGCAACCACTAATTTTTTATTCTAGTAGACATTTTCTTGTTATGTTCTGCATTTTAACAGAGACCCTCAATTGGTTCAAATCCTATTATTTTGAGTAGACAAAATGAATTTGTTACGGTTACAAAAAAACTTAAAACATCAATGCAAACCCATCCTTAAAATTACAAGCAGAGTATAATTAGATCCATTAAGATGATTAAAGAGTACAAAAATGGTCATTGATAATTGGGGTATTAACTATTAAAAGATGTGAGTTATTCCCCCCAAAACAAAATAATGATAAAGAATGTAATAAAACAAATAATTAAAAGGGAAAGAGAGAGGATATTACCTATGAAAGAAAATCAGTGTTGAAGTTGATAATTTCACTTAAATAAGTAGCAAACGAAGATGATAATAAGCTATCGGTTCTCTATCCTTTGAGAAGAGGACATCCTTTTATTTCCTTCTTCAATATTGTCATCTGATGAAGGTGGTTTGTTAAAGACTTCAATTTGGGGTTAAAATAAAGTTGCAAAGTCTAAAGAGATGGCATGACTGTAATATCTTCATCTCCTCTCTTTATAATCTCATAATTCCACTCTTCCCATTCGTACATCTCCTCGAAGGAAAGAAATATGCACAAAATGTGAATGACAAAATGTGATTTTGTGGTAACTGATCAATATTTATAGTCAGAGAAAGACCAAAGGAATCTTTCACTTGGTGAGAGGAATAATTTGGTTTGATAATGATAAAAAAATGGACCGTCCACTTGAGAAAAATTAATAAAAGTTTTTGCTTTAGTATTAATCGACAAAGGCAGAGGTTAATGGGCCCTCCACTTTTGAATTTTTGCTTGAACATTTTATAGTGCCACTTACTTTTTAAGTATAGACAACTGGAATTGATTAAATCTCTTACTACAATTATTGATCAAAAAAAGTAAAACTGTTGTAATGTATGGTAGGTTAGTTAGCCATATTATGAACAACTAATAAATGATAGAAAAAAAATATATGCAATATTGATCATTATTTAACTTTAATCGGGATTTAACCAAATGAGAAAAGAGAATTCTATTAGACACTTTTTATTTTTCTTTTCTCTTTTTTGTGGAAGTTTGGATAAAATTTAGAGATGTAATCAAGATATCACTCAAATATCCTTTTAAATATTCAGAATATAAATACATCTTAAACTTCAGCAGCCAAAGTTTTAGAAGCTGTGCTTTCAAGTTTCCGAGATTGCTAATTGAATGCTTATAGTGCATGTAATAATGCTGTAACGTCCATTCAGGTATTTTATAGTGCAAGGAAAAGAACCAAGGAATAATCTTGAGTTGATAGCTCAAGCCTAAGTTTTATTTTGATAGGACGTCAGGTATAAGTGATGTCCAACTCCAATCTCCAAAGATAACATAATAATACAGGAATATGATACTTTGATTGATTTATGTTGGGAGAAGATCTTTACTAAAAGAATAAGTTTTACTTCTTTCTTTCCTTAACACTTTTAGCTTTTACCATAACTTGATATGGAAGTAGTTCTAGAAAAGTTTGTAGTTTAAGCTAAACAAATTAAATTTGCCAAGCCATGCTATAAAATTTGGCATCATTAACTTGTTTTAAAAGATAAATTTTTCTTAATTTTAAGAAGGCCAGACTAGTAAAAGCTAAAACCAAAAAGCTCTGCAGACTTCTTATTTTTTCCTCTGTTCTGAGACAGTGAAAGAATTTGGGGTTGCTGAAAAATGAATGATTCTGGTTTGAATTTAATTTAATGATTATGATCATTAACCTCAGGTCTAGCAGTTCTCACATCGATTAAAGTTTTTTCTTGTTAATATTTTTGGAGCAACACAAGGCCAAACGTCAAAGATTTATTCTCACAATCTTTTGCAATTTCACTAAATAGTAACATAAACTGCAGACTAACGTTTTTCCAGAGCAGCAGCAAATGTTATAGAAGATTAAGTTTTTTCTGCTTGAAAAACGATAAGCATATGCTTTGAAAGGATCTGTCGTAGATAAGTGATGAAATAATCAACCCCAAGAATAAAGAATATAATTTCTTATTAACTTTGAAGCCAATGAAAGAATTTAATTTAAAGTAAAAAATTTGGACTTAGTTGTAAAATGCATGATTCTTAGTTGAAATTAATTTAGTGATTAATCATTAAACTCAGCTCTCGAAATTGCTGAATGTTTGTGCTAGTTTGTCAATAGTTTTAGAATAACACAAGGCCAATTGTCAAGATTTTATTCTCACAATATTTTGCTCATTCACTAAATAGTAACATAAGCAGCTCCACATGCTTTTATTTCTGTTTGTTTCTCCCTTATTTCATAGGGTGATGGTATCTTATATAAACAGCTTGGTAAACAATCAAATATAAGTAGAAAAACAATAAGGAACACGATTATTTACGTGGTTCACCCATTTGGGCTACATCCCTGGGAAGATATTTCCAACAAGCTAGAGAGAAAAGTAAACATTTTGCAAAGCAATAAACTTAAATAGACTAAAATATCACCTCTTGAAAGAGCTTGAATCCCCAGAAAAGAGAGGAGAATAGCTAAAGCTAGTTTGCTTGACTTTGATCATTGATGTGTCGTTTTGCATACATTTCTTCAGTGTGAAATGTGGAAGAATTGACAGTAAGTTTAGTAAAAGCGCGGGGTGGGGAATAGGAGTCTGGTTCTTATAGAGAAAGACTTGCTATTGTAGTCAATGTTTACTAATTACGCAGTAATGTCGATTGCAATCAGTCAATGAAGCATGTTAGACTCAAAAGTTGATTTTCCGGGAAATTTAGTGGCAGATGTTTCGCCGCGTAATTATTGATTAATTTACAAACAAAGCAGGAGGGAAGTTTCATTGGCATGTGGTGGGCATAATATTATTATTAAGTACTATTACTATTAAGACGACAGTATCATAGTTAAAGAAAAAGTCCCATAAAGAGTTTGTATGGTCTGTGATTGGGGAGGTTGAATCCAGTCCATGGGGTTCGGGGAGTTATAAGGGAACTGCAACCATTTGTTTGTTCCAAAGGGGAGTGGTTCACAGCTTCAACCATTATGTCTGTCACTTTCATGAGGGCGGTAATGCAGAAAGGTCAATGGTATTTGGGCCAGGGCTGTTTAAGGCCGAGTGGGCGACTATGCAACTCATATTTGAAGCCGAGCAAAAATCGTCAAACAATTCTGTACAAAATCATGTAAAATTGGTGTAATCGGATTGGCTCTTGTGGCAACACATTAGATCATTCATTACCAATCAGAGAAGTAATCAAATTTCTCTATCAAGTTGTATAAATAACATGGCACCATAAATATTCAATGTGAACTAAAATGCCAAATAATATAACCACCAATTTTTGCACTTGTTTGGTATAGACTGAATGTTGACCAGAGGAGTAGTAGCTCAATGAAAGGAAGTCCTGTACAAGCATTCTTTCTTCAAATAATGCTTGCTTATAACTAAGACTACAATTAACAAAAATTTTATAAAATTCTGTTGAAAATAAGATGTAAGACCGGATTATGAAGTTAAAATTCCGAGTAAGTGCAGAGGAAGTTAAAACTGAATTATGAGTAACAATTTGACTTTTTGTTGCAAAATATTGTATCTTAAT